TGTTAACTCAATTTGACATAAACTAGAATCATTGGAGAGGAGGGAGCCTCAATGGAGAAAATGCCTTCTTAAGATTGGGCTATAGATAAACCCATAGAGCATTTGCTTACTTTGGGATGTTGGAGATCCCAGCCCATTATGGATGGTGCCATCCTTGGGCTGGTGGTTCTGGGTTCTATAAGAAAATGGGCTGAGTGAGCCATCAGGAACAAGCTATTGAGCAGCACCCTGCATGACCTCTCCATCAGCTCCCGCCTCCAGCTTGTTGGAGTTTTTGTTCTAATTGACTTTGTGATGAGCAGTGCCATGGAAACATAAGCCACAAAAAACCTTCCCTCATGAGTTGCTCTGGTCTTGCTGTTTCATTATAGCAAGGGTAACCCTAACTAGAATAGTGTTATTTTATTAGCTTGGTCTATTGGGCCTACGATATACATGTTAGCAAAAGTCAGATTTTTGCTACCTCATTCCATTGAGCTGAAGAGGCATTGTTGAGAGCAGGCTGTACCCTACTCTGAATTGTTGCACTATTATGTAAACTGTTGTTTTTTTAGGCATTGCCTTCCTGTGAGCGAACCATTTTACAAGCAGCTTTTGACTCCATTTTGAAGATGGCAGATGGCTCTGTAGCTGGGTTGACACGTGAATGGCCAGCACTGTTCATGCAGTGCAGGCTGATAATTCACTTGTTACTGGGAGTAGAAAGGCTCCTAGTCACAGATGTGTTGGGTGATTGGGACACATGAGCATATTGACATATTCGGGAAAAACATTCCTGAGAGTTTCGTATGCAACCCCGAGAGAGGAGAGGTTACAGCTCCCTCATCTGAACTCCGTGAAGAGATGGAAACCTAGCAGTGCTGTGGTGACACCCCATGGCTCTGTCATTTGACCACCGAGTGTGTGCAGCAAGGGACCAACAGACAGAGGACTGACTGCCTTAGGTTCTTTGCTTTGGCTTGGCCCCTGGCTTTGCTGTGGCCCACATTCATTGCTGTCTGTCTGTCTCCTGTTCACTTGTCTAGACTTGCTGTCCATCCATTTGCTTGGTTTGTCTGCTCCAAATTGGTCCTTTCCACCTCTGCTTCTGGACTCTGTAGCTCTGACCCTGCCTCCGTCAGCAGCCTTAGTGCCTCTCCAGGTCATCTCACCCCGAGACCCTCTATATGTGCCTTCATTTCCCAGCTTCTTGGAAACCCACTTGCCTTTTTAATGCCCTAGTCACTGTGTGAGCTACATATATGCATGCAAATATGCGTGCATATTTGCCATGTGATGTGCAGTGTGTCATGATGGTTAGATTGGTTGCCCACTAATATCAGTTAATATTGGATTTAAAGAACCCGTATTTACCTATCAAGCGAAACAGGAATATTCTGCAAATTAGGCATTGTGGGCAGACGTATACATCTCCATGTATGTTCTTGGCATAGTGTTTTTATAACAGACATGTTTTTATATGACTCTACGTTTCTCTTTCTCTGTTATTATTATTATATGTATCTCTCCTTTGTGATACCAAGTGAAGTCATTGTTGCAATACTGGCCCTATGGCCCCTTCTAGAAGCTGGGAGGAGAAAGGTATGGTTTATACTTCTTGTGAGGCTTTTTTTTTTTTAACGTCATGGTCCCCATATTCATGTTCTTATCCATGGTCCTCTCCTTATTTCTGTACACTTTCATCTCTATTCATTTTCATTTTAACTACATTTCAGTGTGTGGATTATGCATCTATTATTTGACTCAGTCACTTTTTAATCAGTTAATAAAGGAAGGGAGGGAATGGCCATTTCCCCAGGGTTTTAAATGTGCTGTTCCTTCAGTGTGTGTCCTGTGCTTTGGAATCGCTGCTGGAGTTAATGTTGTTTACACTGAAGAACATCTTATATGTTCTGTAAAGTGAATTGGCCAGCAAAGCATTCATTTCCTTTTGTGTGTGAGTTTTAGTTCTCTTTTTGAGACGTTGGTCGTGTTGTTGTGGACTAGGTTATCTGTTTCTTTCACAGTGACTGCTGTCCCACGGCTGTCTAGCAGTCACATTTCTGATGGGCAACAGCTGTTGAGCTGCTGTAGAGTCGTGTTAGTTTTCAATCCTAGGACTCCTGTTGGAAACACACAGTGTTTGAATACCTTGCTTCACTTCAGAGATGATTCCTTGTGTCTCTGAAAACAGCACCAAGAGCTGCTGTGAAACCACTTGTGCCCGCCTGCCTTAGCTACAGAAACTCCCCTTCCCGTGCCAGTCATCATCTTTGGATGTAATGCTTTACTGAAAATGAAATATTTGTGAAAATCCGTGTTTATGATTCCAGATACTGACTGGCTCCTGCTCCCACCTTCTCAGAGGGTGCTGTGCGCTTGCTTGTGACTCTGCTGCTGCTTCGACTTCAGTCTTGCACAGAACCCTTCTGACGTCACTTTCCCAGACGTTAGAAGTTGAGACGACAGGATTTGGCATGGTTGGCTCTGACTGCCTTGGCCTCTCCTCATGCTGCAGCCCGTTGGTATCACTCTAGCCATTCAGCGTTATCCTTGCTAGCTGTTCAGCTCTAGTTTTTATAATGCCCGTGGCATACTTCCTCTGCAATCTGACCCAATTAAATGCTGGCCTTTCTGTAGGGATAGGTTTAAGACCAATGTTTGAAGTTTGTTTTGATCCCCGGGGTGGGAGTTTTGCTAGCTATGTTTCCTGTGTCTTCTGGTAAATAGCCAGCCTTCAACTTAGCTTTTTTTTTTTTTTTTTTTTTTGTCTCAATGTGGATTCCAGTATCCTCTTAATTGCTCATTATAATAATCTCCTTTTCCTTCCTTCCTTTCTTTTCTTTTCTTTTTTTTTTTTTTTTTTTTTGGTTTTTCGAGATGGTTTCTCTGTATTGTCTTGGAGGCTGTCCTGGAACTTGCTTTTTAGACCAGGCTGGACTCACAGAGATCTGCCTGCCTCTGCCTCCCGAGTGCTGGGATTAAAGGCATGCTCCACCAATGCTCAGCAATAATCTCCTTTTTCTAAGAATGTGCTTAGTCTGAATTTCTCTATTTTTTAAAGGGGGTTTATAGATCTTTAATCTTAGACCCCTTCTCTGCCATTACTGTTCTTGGTCTGTGGATGGGCATGGAGCCCTGTTTCTTTCTGTGGCTGTGGATGGGCATGGAGCCCTGTTTCTTTTGGAGTGACACCCACTAAAAGAGGGCCTAGAGGAGCTGGGCTGTGAGCAGAACACCTGAGCCACATTGGCGTGGTTTTGGTGTGTGCACAAGGTGCCGAGGGCACCACTGGCTCCCTGCTTTTCCGGTATGAGCTGGGACTGTGCCCTGCGCTTCAGTGTGCTTTGGTTTTAGGCTCCTATCCCTCATCCCTGATGGTCTCCCCTCCCCCTTTAAGTCACGTCGAGCTGAGGATGGAGAGGCAAGTTGATGCTCAAGGGCACACACACATTTCTGTTTCCAACCAGGACTCAGATTTTCTTGAATGACTTTTTGTCGGCTGAAGGCCCTTGGGACAAGGGCTTTTAGTGGCTGCTTTAAAGATGCCTTTCACTGCCCGTTCCCCTGGAAAAGTCTGTGAAGCCCTTTGCCCTCTCAGTTTGGATATCACATATTCTCTTAGTTATTTTTCTTTTCTTTCTTTGTTCCTTATGGCCTGGAATAGAATTCTAGTAGCTGTCATGTAAAGTTAATATTTTCCGTAAAAATCAGGATGAAAGCGTTCCTTTCCCATTTGACCCTTAACCCCTTGCGGTAGACATTGTGAACTATTTCCCCTCACCTTGGTCTCACTTTTGCATTTGAGTCTAGGCTCCGCATTTTGACTTGATGTGTGGGGAACACTGCTACAGCCCTTGGTTCATAAGTAGCTCTCTTTCCCTCCTACTGGCTGCAAACTGGCTTCTGTAAGCTAGCGTGTGGAGCATCTGGCTTAGATGGTGGTCTCTCTTCAGAGCACACTCTTCTATTTGCTTACTGCCTTCACGAGCAGAGATGGTCATGTAACAATTCTGTGGACGGAATGGCACATTGGAGTGAAGATACAAAGGGTTAGTTGACTGCCCACCATGGACGCTTGCTTTGAGACTGCTTCTTCGAGGTAACTTAAAGGACAGTTAAGACCATGCTACAAGTGACACCCTACTGAAAGTCAGGGGCAGAGGGTCGGTCAGGAAGGAGTCATCCTTAACGTGCAATTTAGTTGCAGCCATTAATAAGACAGACCTTTCATTGTGGAAATGGAAATGAATGGATGACTCGCCTGAGGAAGTGCTGCATGGACATTACGTTTGAAAAGAACTGTTTGTAAAGTGAATTAGAGCAAGACATAAATTCATCACTATTCAGGTTGTTTTGTCTCAAAGTGGGGATACTGGGGAGTTTGTTTCTTTAATGATCCAATGTGTAAATTAAATTTTCTGAAAGCACACTCATTTCTAAGCATTAACTTCAAACTCATTTTAATTGTTTCACAATAGTCTCTCTCTTCCTCCCATCTTCAGGGAAAACCCAATTGTCTTGTAACATTCTTTTATAGAGTTTGACCTCAGTGACTTATGATGGAAACGACTTTTTATTTCATTTATTCATGTGTGTGAGATGTGTGACCGTGCATGCATGTGTCATAGTATGCATGTGAAGACCAGAGAACCATCCGTGGGAGTCTGTTTTTTCCTCCCATCTAAGGTCCCAGGGATCAGAGTCAGGCCATCTGGATTGATAACAAACACATTTATTTACTTTCTGATGGGGAGAAAAAGTTGCATATGTAATGAAAATAGTATTTCCATACTGAAGTGAGTGCATGGAATTGCTATTCTAGGAAATTGTTTTTTAAATTTTAGATGTTAATTGTGAATTGAGCAAACATTTATTTGGATTCTTTCTTGAGAGAGATTTTGGAAAATATGAAGCCCTGTATTTGAAGTGAGCTGTAGGATTTAGAGCTTTCCTTCAAATGATCTATAGGTAAAGTAAATATGTTTTTCCGTTTTCTTTTTTCTTTTTTTGTCCCATAGGCAGCAGGAGCGATTCGGCCTCTGGTGTCCACTGTTATCAGTCCCTCTGCTGACGGCTGCTTAGACCACTCACTGGACCGTGCTCAACACAGGGCAAGCGAAATGCCACAGGCTTTTCTCTTTGATGTGATCTATGACGCATATCAACAAGTAAGAATCTGGGCTTTCAAAAAGCCACTGTTCTGTTGTGCTTTTTTAAAACTGTGTCCATACCTGAATTTCTAGAAAAACCAGCGAGATTCAGCATGTACCTGTACTCCATGGCAGAGCATAATCAGTGGAGTAATGGAAGTACTCTATTGGCTTAGAACAGAGACTCAGGCAGGACAGGAAGAATCCATTTGGAAGCTGCCTAAGCTCTCTCCGCCTTTTGATGGGTCACATGTGTGTAATTCTTAGAAGTCCATTAGAGGCTCAGAGTCCAGGGGAGGGGGAGGGGCTTGGTCACTAGATGTCCTCTGGCTAGCACTTACAGAAATTCCACATTCTCAGGAGGAATGCAAACATGCAGTGTGAACAGTGCTATGCATTCAGATAATCCCCCACCGCATTGCCCCCCCCCCAAACAGTGGTCTACACCTGCCTTATAGACAGGTCTTCTTGAGGACAGTAGTGTTAGGCCTAGTAATGGTAAATTTTCTGCATAGATACCTAGACATCTTAATTAAATATTTAAGTTAAGTCACTATAAAAATATCACCCAACAAATTGATAACTGGAGTATCTGCAATTTTTTTCCATTTGGAAAGTTTCTGCACTCACATAATTTTATTTCTATTTGTTTATATATATGAATAAGTCAGAAATTTCTCAGTGAAACAAGGTGGAGTAACTCAGTGCTCAACTGATAATGGGTAGTCAGTAAATGTGCTGAGAGAGATGGGCAGTTAAGGTTATAAGGTAATGGTAATAAAGACATTTATACTAAACATGGCAGATATAGTTAGGTTAGAGAACGGTAGTAGTTATCCCCATACATTCAATTATCAATACTTGGCTCCAGTTAGTTTTAGAAGATTGCTTATATAGAATTTTATTTCAATAGTTTTTCTTTGAGAATTTATTTTAATTATACTCAATAAGCTATTATGAATTTCTCAAAGTTGAGCTGACTAGGTGTTGCTGGGCTACACTCTGCCATCAGCACATTTCTGAGATTTGTGAAAGTGTTTATTAACTTTAATATATACCCTTCTATATTGTGATGTGAATAGGAACTGTCCACCAAGCTCACGTGCTGAACACTTGGCCCTAGTGTGGTAGTGCTGTTTTAGGAGGTGGGAGAACCTTTATGATAGAGGCTGGAGATGCAGGCTGCTGGTGGCATGCCTTGGAGAGAAGCCTTGTTCTGTTCTCTTTTATTTTACTTTTTGGTTTCTTGAGACAGGATCATGTAGACCAGGCTGACCTCAAACTGTCTATGTAACCAAGGCTAGCCTTGATCTGCTGTGCTGGGTTATGAGCATGACCCACCATAAGTATCTTTTGTCCTGCTCTCATAAGTATCTTTTCTCTGCTTCCTGACCACCGTGATATAAGCCCTTCTTCCCTTAAGTTGTTTCTCTCAGGTTTTTTCTCATAGCAATGGAAAGCCCAAGACATAGGACATATTTATGACAATTAGGGTATTTTAGACAATGTAGTATGATGCTCTAATATTTAGAATTGATTCAAAGGTAAAATTGGAAAATTCTCCCAGTAGAATATTACATATCAAAGACAGGGAAGTGTCATAGACCAATTTCTTTGAGAAACTGGGATACTCTTATCCTTTTCTGGGATGGAAGTGAAGGTTGTAGGGGATCACTTACAAGCAAGCGATTCTTTGTAGACACAGTCTTATGAGTGTTCAGAAAGTGTAATGAAGAGTGAAGACGGATGTTTGCAGAAGACAGAATCTTACTTGCTCTACGGGATGTCTGGTGGGTTAATAGCCTAATGATGCTGAAAACTTTCTTCATCTCGTATCTCCCTCTTTTAATTCTTTAAGATTTGGGATCAGCAAGTCAACTGTGTATGTAAACATTAGTCATTTAAGACTGTGTATAGAAATCTTCCCTCTCAAGGCTGAAGACTCCAAAATAGGAGACTAAGGTATTTTCAATGGCTTCTCAACTTGCAGCTTTTACAACCTTATCTTCCAGAAGCCTGGAGTGGAGTCTTAAAGTCTTCAGTCATTTCCCTAACTTTTTCAGGGCCAGGAGAAACTTTCAGACAATCAGTCCATGTTGAGGCACAATCCCATTATTTCCTGTAAGCAGAAGCAATATGGAAACCAAATTACCACTTGTTTCAGGACCACAGTTTTGGTAGACAAACACCTTCTAGACAGAATCAGCTTGGCTTCCTAAACATCAGCAACCCTTTCAGGTGGAAAGAGGGTGTTGACTAGGACAGGGATAATGACCTATTAGACCACAGTCTGATAGAGGCTGCAGGACACTTATGCAATCATAGAACTCAAGTTAGCATCTGTAAGCAACCATGCTTACTTACCAAGCCTGGGTAACCTGATTATGGTCTGTGGGAATGTTGTCTATCAGCATGGGTCGGAGGGGTCACAACAATTCCAAGGCTGAGAAAAGTTCATTGCAATCAATCAGACGTTCTATACCCTTATCAGAAACAGATTACAATGGCAGTTTCCAGATCAATACAATGGTAGTTGCCAGGATGCAATGATGTTTTCAAGCTATTTAGGCTACACAAGGTTAACGTCTAAGACTAATTGTTCTGTCAAACTCCTGTATGCTTCACTGACTTCTAGGGAACACAGAGAAACACAGGCAGCCTGAAAGGTACACAGTGCTGCAGAAATCCCAGATTCTAACCTGTAAAACCTATGACACATGTCTCTAGAGCAGGCCTCCATGATTCCCTGCAGTTTCCCCCTTTTTTTTTTTAAATTTCAGAATATTCAAGTCAGTCTTCAAAGCAGAGGAGCACATCAGCCTACAAGCTATACTGCTGCTCAATATAGTCAGTGAAAAAATTCTTTTGGGGTTTCCTATGGACCACAGTTTAGATGTTTGATTAAAGACACAAAAATGATGCCCAAAAATCTTTGCTAGGTTTTGCGCAGAGATGGATAAGGGTAATTCATTTGACTTTGAATGCTGAATGGTTTCAAGGCCCAAATATCAATGCTTAAATTATCATGTGACTGTGTTCTGTAAGGTGATTACAAATCTGACCCCAGTTAAATTTAGAATAATTAATATAGAAGGAGTTTCTATGTGTTTGTTTAGCCCCACATAAACACAGAGGCTTCTACTAGTTATAAGCTGTTTGGCCAATGGCCCAGGCTTCTTACTGGCTAGCTCTCTCTTAATTATTAATCCATATCTATTAATCTATTAATTTCCACATGGTCTTGGGCTTACCAGTAATGCACGGTCCCCTTTCTTTCACAGCAGCTACATGGCATTTCTCTGGGGGCCCCTCTCTCTGTTGTCTCTCCAGCATTCTTCTCGTCTGGTAGCCCCACCTATACTTTCTGCCTGGCTACTGGCCAATCAGTGTTTTATTCATCAACCAGTAAGAGAAACATATATACAGAAGGACATTTTTCTTTTCTGTCTAAAAAGGAAGGTTTTAACTTTACCAGTAAAATTGTATATAACAAAACAGTTATCTAGCAAAAACTCTACTTAACAATATTTAGTCTATTAACATTTAGCAAAAATTAAAGAAAATATTTTATCATCTATCCTATCTTTGTGATTTTAAAGTTTTCTATGTAACTTATCTTTTATCATAACTAAGGAAAACCATAACCATAACTGTCTTCAATTCCATCAAAGACCTCAGAAGGATAATATATAAACTTTAGAATTGACAGAGACATATCACTGAATGGACAGAGACCCAGATTTCTTCTGTAACATTGGGGAATCCATCTTCAGCCTACAGGCCTAGTGTGTCTGGCAGACTTCTTAGCAAAGCAGGAAATTTGAAACTGTCCCACATGTATTGGCAGTTTGTCAGTCATTTTCCTCTGTGTCTTGCAGAATGTCTGGCAGATTCTTCCATGAAGCAGGAACCCTGCAGTACTGTCCTATCTTGTTTTGGCACTTTCCTGTGGGTCCTGTATGTCTGGTTTGGACAGCAACAGTCAAACAATCCAGGCAAGAGCAGTTTCTTGCCCAAATGGCTAGTCTTGCCTTGTCAGAAGCAAACTCCATAAGGAGCTTCTTCCATGCCTGTCTTCCTCTCTGAGATAATTGTTATTGCCAGGAGCAGTTGTGGCTCACTGCCATGAAAAACCCTAAACCATTTTAAATGCCATGTTTTGTAGATCTTTGAAAGGTTTGGGGAATATCTATCCATTTGAAATATACTCTGTATATCCAGGAAATCTAACTAACACAGCTATAAGTTTTGGCTATTATAGGTGACTCTCATCTGTATTTAATTATACATTACACCTTTAAAAGAGCTGTATACATATAACATCTAAATAAGAGTAGAAATATACATACAAAAAATTGACCTTAAATTTGTATCAATGAGCCACAATCCACATCAATGCAAAGTATTCATTTCTATATTCACTTTTTTCTTTAGAAAGAAATTGATTGTGATCATTAACCATTTATAATTAATCTTGTTTAAAGGAAAACATTTATAAACAACATTTAGGAATTTGGGCATAGTTCTCTTCAAACTGCTTCCTGCTGTTTGGGGGACATGGTCAATCCCAAGAGAAAACCAGAAACCTGTCCAAATCCTGGCTGTAGCAGATTGAGGCTGCATGGTCTCAGCTGTTTTGCATGTTGGATCACCTGGACCATTGATTCAGGGGGTCTTGTTTGATCAAACCATATTAGTCTGGAAGGAGTCTACTGCTTTTCATCTTCTGTGGAAACAAAAGCAGAATCTCCTTTCCAAAGTAACATGTCCTTAGACTTCAATTTTAAAGTCAAAGCATTTTGAAAATATATAGGTTGGATTAACCCAGCATTGTTTATGATCAAATGTCTGATAGCAGCCGTTGCTCCTTCCTCAGCAGTCAAACAATTCAAAGACAACACAATAACATACAGTATGTGTTTTCCATCTTTACATGACTTTTTTATTACTCCTTTTTTAACCTGTATTTATTGTTCTTAATATTACCTTTTTTTAGACAGGGTTTCTCTGTGTATTTT